GTGTACCCTGTTGCCGTATTTCTTCTGAGTTTACATATAAGTGCATCATTTTTTAAATAATTTTATCTCTAACTAGCCTACAACAGGTAGTGATGAGGTTGTGATAGTTGAGGAAGTTGTGGCAGATTAAGTAGTAAGTTCCAAAAATCCAGAAACTTCCAATTTATCAACATCTATGGTTGATCAGCTGCGACCAATATTCCCGCAATTATCAAACGATGAATTAAGAGAGGCATCAGAACGTTATTTATCTGTTGATGATGCCATTGATGGTCTACTTGAAAAAATCCCAGGGGGAAATGGCAAGTATTTCTCGTTTATAATAAGCAATATTACATCCAAGAAAACAGGCACTTCTATAAATGAAAAATTAATATTCAATAAATGGAAATTGTAACTTCTATAAATGGAATTTTTTTCAATAAAGTACTCCAAGTGGTCTTGCACTTGTATTCTAAAAGCTCACTAACACTCGATGGGTGGAGGTTCAATCTGAACTTCTCTTGAGTGTCATTGCTGTTTTTGAATAGCTGGAGGGTTAGTGGTACATGTACCCTGTACTTTATACTACTCATCCCCCTGCAGCTATTCAAAAAAACGGAATTGGCAACTCAAAGGAATCTCAGATTGAACCTCCACTCCTTGAGTTCGAGTGAGCTTTTAGAACACAGGCGTATTTAAACTTTTGTCCATGACTGTCAAGTAAATTATTATTTTTAATTATAATAAAATAAAATTAAATTCATTCAAATATGCCAACAAGTACTTCTCTATTTATCTCAGCTAGTATTAAGAGTGACCTGCTTAAAGGAAATCAAGTTACAAGATTTGTTATAGTTTTGTTAGATCTCAGGAGAATAACAATCAAAAAGTTTTTTAAAAAAAATGTTTCATTTGGTGTATATGTAACAATTTATTACTGGACAATTTATGTTTTATTATTTATAGATGAAGAAATGATTTATGATAAAAATGCCAAACCATCTCTTTCAAGTTTGTTGAGGAGTTTAGTACCTGGTGATGGAACAAATTTAAAGCGTATTTCAGTATCTAGGGAAAATATTCTGGAAGATAGTATAATTCACTTCAAGAAACATGATTACAATTGTTCTTATCAAGTCCAAGTACGTTTTGAGGGCGAGCCTGCAATTGACGCTGGAGGACCCAGAAGGGAGTATTTTACCATGTTACTGAAAAGTCTTGTATCATGTAAAAGTTCTATCAGGCTTTTTGAAGGAAAAGAAGGCAGGTTACTTCCGATGAAAAACACTGATGCCTTACGCGGGCAGCTCTTCAAGATTGCAGGAAGAATGATTAGTACCTCTATTGTCAATGGTGGACCCGGTTTTCCATGTCTATCGCCCCCTGTTTATGAATACCTTGTGAAAGGATTCACAGAGGAATTAGTATCAATCATTAACAAAGATGACATATTTGACATTGATGCATCTCAAGCAATTGATAAGGTAATATAAATTCTTATTTTCTGTACTGAAATTTCATAGATTTAAAGTGATAATAAAAAAAAATCATTAAAAAAATTTAAAGATTGCTTACATGAGTTTTGTTTGGATAGTGTTTAGTAGAATAATACCTACGATACAGTTAAACTATTTTAAAGTTTTTCTATGTAACTCTTTATTGTATTCCTTTTATTTCTCCGAATGTGTATTTATAAATATAAAGTCTGCCATGCATATAACAACCAGTTCACATGCAAACTGTTCCCATCTTCGCAAAGTCACGTGTCCACCGCCGGACACTATACTCTCAGCATGCCTGCATGGTGTGTATCCACACTCAAGAGTAACATCAGAAACATCATATTCACCTGAGTGCATATCCTTTCCTCTCTTTTTAAAAACAGATTGACCATGCAAATGCTGAAACAATAAATTCAATTGCCATTGAAACTCAGCACCTCTTGGTAGAAGCTGGGTTCCCTCATACCCTAACTATTGAGAATAAAATGCAGGCTATAGCCTGCATGTATCTTCATCATGTAATAACAGTCCGAAAAAGTGAAATTGACCAGCTGGCAACTGGACTGGGGCAACTACTTACACTGGCAAGGAAATATCCAGATCTGCTTAGTCCTCTATTTGTTCACAGTGATGATGGTGCGGACACAATGACACCTGATGCATTCATGGCCATTGTAAAAATAGATGGTGTTAGTCCTAGGGTTGTAGATTACTTCACACAGTATGTGCATGATGAAGGTAAGTATGCATCAGTCTTCCATTAAAATTTTAATTATGCCCTCATTGCTAAATTCGGAGAAAAAAGCATAGTGGATTTGCAGTCAGTATGGTTCAAATATAAAAGGTGAGGGATTTGACTTTTCCAGGGTGTAATGCAACTCAATGGGTTAAGGGCGAATTACATGAGCTCCCATATAAACACTCCATCTAGGCCAGGCAGTGTGAAATTTGCCTTTTGATCAAGCACAAATGTGTTTATCTGTACAAAAATATGATGTTTAGACAGTTTTAGACGTTTTGCTAATTTTTTTTTAAACAGCTGAAAGAATACCCTATCTCTTGTCGTTTACAACTGCGTGTGAAAAAGTTCCTCCACTTGGATTTACTGATCCAGAACATATTGCTGTATCAGAAGATAGTACGGCAGTTTTCCCAGTGGCAAATACATGTGTTATGGAATTGCAACTACCGGCCAAGCATCAGAATTATGAAAAATTCAGATTTTTTATGAACCAGGCTTTAATTATGGAAAGCACTGGATTTGGATTCGCATGAAGTAAATTTGTTCTGAATGGTTTACTGTAGGTACACTACAAGACCAACAAGACTGATATAATATTTTAAAAGTTGTTGTTAAAATGTTAAAATTTATTACATTCATTTTTTTTCCGTTTTTGGGAGCAATTGCAGAATCCCTATCAAAATAATCCCAAATTAGTAACTTCCTTTGACGACATTTACGGTTATTGTTCAGATATTTTCACTTATACAAAATGTGTCCATTTAGGTCACAGAAAAATATTTTCAGGTCATATAAGTGTGAAAACACCATAATAGTTTAAGAAGGTATAAACTCGTACGCACACAGTACAAGTTATATTTCAGTTGTTTTCCCACAGGTATTTTGTATAATTGTAAATCTGCATATAAAGAGATTTTATATTTATTTGTCTCATATTTTATTAATATTTCTCGGTAAATGTTTCTCGCCATCTCGGTAACGTTAAATCGTTAATTCTCAATGTTTATGAGAAATACTGCTGTTGACATTCATGTAGAAATTTAGATATCGATAGGTGTTCTGCAATTGACTATTTGATATCCACATTGCCACGTTTTTGAAGTTAATGCATTATAGTAAAATGACAGTACTTACCGTGAAATACAGATTACAGAGTAAAACATTATTTTATTGTATGAAAAGTACAAATAGTTAACAGTTGTGTTTCTTTTGAATTTAGTGCATTTAGCAGAACTTACATATACATGTAATTTTCTAAATTGACAAGAATTCTCGTTTGTGTTCATTGTATATTATGGTTTGCTTTTTTAGCCCAAAGTAGCATATACGCCAATGGCCTTAGCTTTAATAGTAACAACAGATTTTTAGCTTCCCAAAATCCATGATAATAAAGTTTAGTAATTATAAACTTTAATCATAGTCATATAGTAAAAACACTAGTACCTTTCAATGCATTGGAGCACAAAGTTTTTTGTTGCAATAAACATATCCACACCATTATCATTGGATTGACGAAGTGGGTCGACCGTGTTCAGTAACTGTTCATAATCATTATGAATTAAGATGTCTGGAACTTCTGGTATTTCCACAGGTGGGTCACCATCATTTGGCCCATCCCATCGAACAAATGGTGCAGGGCCATCCCAGTCGATCCCATACCAGGCCAAATCTTCCGTAGACTGTCAAAGTCAAGCAAAATACAAATATATGATTTTTACAGATTGGTAATGTTTCAAAAAACGCTTTATAGCAATTGCCGCAAGTCCCTTTCTATCTCTTGTATTTATCCATGCAATAATTTGTAGCTAGACCTCTTTCCCAGTTATGTCTCCAGCTATACTTGCAATTATATTAGGCCATACAGTAATTGTCTCTATAGCACCCGGTGTTGGAGCGTATTGGTTGAATTGCACGACTATATCAAATAGTTGCTAAAATGTATTCTGCTGCATAATCTTCTTTTAGTTTTATACATTCTATATACTGCATGTATTAGCAATTGCAGAACATTACTTACCAGTGACAACTCCTCAGCTACACAGTGTTCACTATTACAAACATTTGATAATCCCTGAATCCAAAGCTGTACAGGGGACTTGTTCCTTTCTGTGCTTATCGGTGCTCGACTATGTGCTGCCGCAAATTCATCAAGATTCCTGTTGATTCTGGGCAGAAATACGTAATGCAGTGCATACATATCCACTTCATTACAAGGATCTAACATACCAGACACTTCCATGCAGGAAAACAAATCATAATATAGACCTGTACAACCAAAGAAGACATCTCTCCATAATCGCTCGATTCTTTGGTTGTGAACGCTTCTGCCAGTGATATGGCTTCCTCTATCTGGCCCACGTAATGGATGGCTCAACATGTATCTAGCAACATCGACGTTTTCTCCCCCTTTATCGGAACGAACTCTTGATGGAAGACCAAACTTACTAACGCTTTCAATGAACAATTGACAAACTGTAACAGCTTTATTGTTATTGCTGGCTTTTAAAAAAACAATCAAACGAGAATAGCCATCTATTGCTCCATGGATCACAATGCGCCATCTAAAATGTTGAAGATGTAGAGACAGATGTAGAGTACATTCAAATTTATAATACTACAAAGCTGTAGTAATTATACACCTAGTGGGGGCCATTCCATTTAAGGTCCTTCCCCCCCCCATGGACTAAATTTTCTGAAGGGTGACCTCAAAGTCATTTCAGATGGATTAAGTTGGTGGTATCCTTCGATATCTGCGATTTTTCTGAGGGGTATAAGGAGAAAAATTTACAAATTTCTGAGGGGTTTTTTTTTCCCCTTTAATCTTCTTTCTTAGGGATTAAAATTTTACTTACCTCATCAATGGTGTGGGGTTGATATTAAATGGAATGGCCCGGGTGCAGTGTCTACACCATCCTAATCAATATAATTTTTTGAGTACACTGGCTTAAATGATAATTATCTTCATTAATTTTATTATATCATATCACGCTATAATTTCACTCGACGTACCGGATAAGTTTGTGATTGCCATCGATATGTCATAACGCAAGCGGTGCGTAAACTTGGTATCTTCTTCGATTTACTGTAGATAATTCTAACGAACGAATAAGTACCCCTTCCGGGTCAACCCTCCACATAGGTTCTCTAATTCTTTCTTGTACTTTAATCCCTCGGCTCAGCAAAAATCCGGTCATTCTGCGATATCCAGCTGATGGAAAACTTCTCGAAATGTCTCTAATTGTTCTGTCAAGAGTTTCATCATCGATAACGGAATAAAACGATCTTGCGGGAATGCGAAACTCACGTAAACGTCTTTCGATGGTGCTCAAGCTAACACCGAGCGTTTGTGCTATGTCTGGGCCAGAGAAATCTCTCCCCAAGAGAAATTGAAGTTGCTCCTTGGTAATATTGAATTTTGGGCGTCCGCGTGCTCCAGTTGCTAATTGCTCGACATGAAATGAGTGGTTTTCAGCACCGCTTAATGCTGTTAATAAAATATCTTTTGCGGCACGTACAAGTTCGACCACTTGTTCACTAAATAAACCTGGGAAAACAGCCGAATAACGTACGACAATTCCGTAGAGCCAATCAACTCTATACGAAATGGAATCCAGAGAATCTGAATCGCAGTTGCAAGCTTCCAGTTGATGAATCAAACTGACTATAGAATGGCAAATAAGGGGAGTTATTTGATTAATTCTCTGATCCGCCATTTTATTGTAAACTTCCCGCGCTAGATAACATGTGGTTTCAACTCGCGCGTTGCGTGTTGCATAATACAAGCTTTCACAATTTAATGTTGCATAATACAAGCTTGCATAATATAATGTTCCATAATGCAATCTTACACAATTTAATGTTCCAAAATACAAGCTTGCATATTGCAGTATTCCAGAATACAAGCATGCTTGCATAATACAGTGTTCCAATATACAGCCTTGTTAAAGAAAATTAGTTTATCAAAATACAATGTTGCATAACAAAAATCGCAGTTGCATTTTGAAGGGAATATCACTTCATATAAAGTAAGTGATCATTTATTCCATTGCACTCTTTGTAAACTTATCTGCTGAACTACTGTACCATATGTATCTCAAACATTCAGTTATCATTTAATAAACTGTACTCCAAAAGCAGTAAACAAATAATGAATGTTTTCATTTGTGCAATGGTAAAAATATTTTGATTGGGTTAGAGTGTTCCATTGGGTCATTCCAGAAAACATCCATACTGTACAGTACCTCTCCCAAGGAGGAAATGAGAAGTTAACCACCCTACCCCCTTTGGATGTCCTAATACAATTACTATAATCACAAACAAATTTTCCACCTCCTCCCCTCCAGATGGCAGGTTCTTTTCTGGAACAACCCATTAAATTCAGACCTGTTGTCTTGTTGAATGAAACATTCCATCTTTAACCTCATTAAATTGCAATATTTGAGCTGGACCATAATACAAGATAACAGGAATCGCTGTCGTAAAAACCTATCAAGACAATACTCAAATCTATATGGGTCTCCAAATAATTTTATGTATGTACCTGTACCTGACTTTACAGGACGTATGTATTTAAATATCTCGAACAGTGGGTGTAAGTGCAGGTAAAGAAGATAACAACTTGCTGTGGTGGAAAGAAATTACAACTACCTGACAAATATAATGAGAACTTTTCTCAAAATGTCAAAGTTCTCATTATATTTTTCAGGTAGTCGTAATAATGTATTTAAACACTACTTAATAATACTGTTCATATACAGTAAAGAAAGATGTTATTTGCACTTCACTTGGTTGAACTAGAATGCTGGGTTTGGTGGATAATCCAAGTGAGTATATACATCACTATATTAAGATATAACCAGGAATGATTGCGAAAAATGCAACACCAAGTCCTTTGGCAGGAATCAAACTCACAGCCCTGCAATTCTGGAGTGGCGCTCTAACCAACTGAGCTACAGAGGCCAGTTGCTGAGCTGTAACCGTAACTTCATGTATATACAGTATAGGTAATCAGGTGTGCAGGTTGTTATAAGGTAACTTGAAAGATGTTATTTTCACTTGATTGAACTAGAATGCTGGGTTTGGTGAATAATCCAAGTGAGTATATATTGAACTAGAATGCTGGGTTTGGTGAATAATCCAAGTGAGTATATATACACTATTTTAAGACCTAACCAGGACCGATTGAAAAATGCAACATGAAGTCCTCTGGCAGGAATCGAACCCACAGCCCTGCAATTCCAGAGCAGCACTCTAACCAACTGAGCTACAGAGGCCAGTCGCTGGGCTGTATAACCGTTAATTGCATTAAAATATTGTACGCTTTTGATATAACCGTAAATATAAAAATCGTTCTACCTAAACATTTTTCTCTTTTTTTTCTTTTCCTTTTCATGTTGGATTTTATACTCCATGAATCTTTCATGCAGTTCTTGGTGCTGCTGCTCTGTTTTCAACCATATTTTGTGTTCAACTGCCTCCTTAACCTTTCTATCTTGCGTTACTGTATGTAAATTTTGTCCTCTCCTGGCCTGCTTGTCTATTTGAGTATCAATCAATGATTTGGCGCGTAAACGGTTACATTTTAAATCAAAATACGTAAGACACCGGATTCTAATCACCTAACGGCACTTTCTTACCCCAGAGTTTATAACTGCTATTATTTTTTAACAAAAATACGAAATTAATCGAATTGCATGACAATTAATGAATTGGGAGAAAAATTATTTTCATAGCGACAGCTTTAAGAAATAAATTTTCCAAAAAACGATAGTAATGGTCTAGACCGAGTGACAGAAGATTTTACAATGGCAAGGGGTCATTCCCCGCCATTCCTGTCAGACCATACAAATTTGGCACGTATTTTGCGTTTTGCGTGTATCATAATTAATTTGCTTGGGAGGAATCAAACATGGCAGTGATAGCACGAGAATCATTGTGTGTTTGCAATGCTGGAGGACATGCTCTAAGTAGTTTTAGTCATGTAGATGCGCCTGAACGGTGCTTATCTGCTTACCGTGCGAGTGATAAGGCGCTTGCTGACGGTAGGCTATTCCAAAAGCAGCTATTTGAAGGCAAAGCAGATAGCAATGTTGCCATTTCATCACAACAACAAGAACATACAGGTATTGACAAAGAAACGACTATCCGAGCTTCTCGAAGTATAGAGTCGCTAAGAAGAAAAAGGTTGAAATGCAATAAGAAAAAACGCGAAGCCTACAAAATGATGACCAAATCCGAAAGAAATGCAAGACATTCAAGAAAGATTAGTGTATTGGTATGTTTGATATTCGTTACATCTCTATTTCATCCTACTAAATCTTACTTTCTGTAATTTCGCATTTCAATTCGTTGGAATCCGCAGTATAGTATGTTGTTGTAATTTATATAGTTTATTCAAGTCACCGGTGATGGTTGGCAAATATGGCGCAGAATTATGATGAAGTTCTTCTGGTTCTCGAAGAAGTTTCACGTGTGAACAAGCAACTTGTCAATGAGAACCGTGTTCTGAAAGAAAATCTTGAGAAGCGAGATCAAGAACAAAGAAAGATTTTGGCTGATCTTCAGCAGAAATTAGATCAGTTAACGAGCGGGAACAACCGTAGCCAAAACAGTCGAAGGAGACACACAAAAACACCACAGGTCAAAGTTCCTGCTCCTTATCGGGTAAGCGTGTTTAACTTTTAATTTTATTGACTTAAAGTGAACTAGAAAATCATGCTCTGTAGAACATCAGGCTTGCCAATGTGTATATTGAGTAAATATGCCATGTATGTCTGTGATAGCTTGGCTAGGCAGACTAGCATAGGCTACCACTGCCCTGGGACAGCCAGTCTCATGTGAAACAAATAAAAAAACTGTTAAGCAAGGTTAGTATACACTCAGAAAGTAACAGAGCTGTTGTGGAAACGGTTTTAACTGAAACATTCGCCCAATTCAATGGGGTAGACAAAACACCCTGGTCAAGAATCGTAATTGAAGGTAATGTATCCAGTTTCGTCCATTCAATACTATTTTGCTGCATTACGAAACATGAATTTTTTAACTTAACTAATCAAATTACGCTTGCATCGTACACTGTTTGTAATTTTTGGTAGTTTTAGTAGGTTTTAGTAGTTTTATCGGTTGTAGCAACCTGAAAGTAAACGCCTAAAACAGGTCATATTTTTTATACTAAGTCTAAGTCGCTCGTTTCCTATCCTGCTTGTAAATTCGCTAAAGTGATGCAATGTCATTGATTTTATCGTTTACACTCAAAATACAAGAGTCAAGAACCTTCCCGGTTAAATTAGTTATGCAATACTAAAAGTAAAGATGTCTCTATAATCAAGAATGTGTATTACTCGTTATTAGACAGTTTTAGATAACAAGATGCAGACGTCAAGAGGACGTCAAGAGGACGTGAATGTCGTCATTTGGCGCCAACTATCGTCAGCTTCTGGTTTGCGACGTCGTTAAATTAACAACTGTTTAAAATCAGGAAAACGTGGGAAACTAGAAAAATAAAAGCACTTAAAAGCAGTAAAAACTCAATCAGTTATCACAACAGTGCCAAAAAAGTAGGACAAGCAAAAAAACGCTTTCCAGCGTGAAAAACTATCGTAAACAATATTAAATTTTACCAATATAAACACTGATCCTATTTTTATACTGATCAGTTGACAAACATGATTGAATAGGCTACAATTAGCTCGTAAACAATACCTGCAGCTGTTGTATTTATTCCAAATGATGCAACAAAGTTCACTTTTCAAAATACTGAAATATAATTTTTTCTTGAAAAAACTTATTGTCTGTCCATACTAATTCATCAGGAAACACTTGGCCAGTATTATATAGCCTTTTCTTGCACATATCTTGACAACTGATTGAAAACAATACAGGAATGAACAGGTAACAAGAAAGCAAAAATTTGCTTCGAAAAGACAAACAAGCTGTCCCAGATTAAAGCCCGGAAGTGAACGCGAGGTGCATACATCATTTTCACGTCCTCTTGACGTCCGCGTCTTGTTATCTAAAACCGTCTAATACTAAAAAACACCACATATTGGATTGCAGAAACCAAATTCTTGTATTTTGGCTGTAATAGCTTGAGCATGTGAGAAAAACGTACAGGCTTGCCCTATTGGCTATTAATAACTGGTTTTTTTTTGTTTGCGTTGCTCAACAACTTTTCACAAAACAAATTTAGTGTGGATTGTGGAGTACATGTATTTAATGCAAGTTTACAGTATACACATTTTGTCTTAAAATACATTCTCTAGTGTCAAAACATTTAAATCTTACCTCTTTAGTCACTATTCTATGTTAGTATCAACCAGAGGAGGGTGAAAGCTATTCCCAGCATGCATTGCAACTCAGCTGTTGTGAGCTTTGGACCGCTAGTTTTTTCGATATTTATATTGTTAAATTACCGTCCTACGGTTTTTGACCGACATGAAGAGTTTCCTAAGGTTATGGTACAGACCATATGGGAAAATAAGATCTCTCCATCACTGTTAAGCGATGTATGTGGGCAAACAGTTATTATCGGACTTGGCCGACTTGGAAAAGTCTCCCTGTTGAAGCATGGATTTCGAAGGACTCGTATGAGCCTCTCCAGATGGTCAAAACATGGCCAAACTACACTACTGGTGGCCGGACATGATCCTCCTATTGACATTACCATGTATCTGGACATATCTATTAATCCTGGCCCACAATTGTCGAATACAATCGAAACTATAATCACAAACAGAACAGAATCTACGCCAAGAAATCGATTTCGCCATTATTCAAATTTAGTGCAAATTCCTCTGGCTGCACCGGCTATTGTTTATAACAATACAGCGCAACTAATTAAGTGTTGCGTATTGAACGCTCAATCACTTAGAAACAAAGGTCCTGAATTTGTTGACTATATTTGTGATTCGGAAATTGATATTGCCATTATTACTGAAACTTGGCTGAAATCTGCTGATGCTGCTGCTAAAATTGCTGCCACACCAATTGGATATCGCTTGTTTAACCATCCTCGCCCACATAGAATTGGTGGTGGCACTGGCATCTTAGCGCGGGACTCACTTGTAATTAAACCAGCAAGAGCGGGTATATTCAACTCTTTTGAGTATTCAGAGTATATTATTGTTTCTGGCTCATCTCGCGTACGCCTTGTTGTAATCTATAGGCCTCCTTACTCGTTCAATCACCCGGCTACTGTGAATATGTTTATCACTGAATTCGCTGACTTTTTGGAATCTGTTGTCATGACGATCGAGCCGCTTCTGATAGCCGGTGATTTTAATATCCATGTCAACAAGCAGTTGGATAAAGATTGTGGTAGTTTTCTCGATCTCCTTTCATCAATGGGCTTACAGCAACACATTAATTTCCCCACGCATACTTCTGGTAACACTTTAGATCTGCTGGTAACCCGAACTTTGGATTCTGATATCATAAAGGAAATCCAACCTGATATCTATTTTTCTGACCATTGTTCCATATTATTCTCCATAAACATCTCCAAACCGCGACTGTCAAGGAAGAAGGTAACTTTTAGGAAAACGAAAGCTATTAATACAACCACATTCGTGGCGGATCTGTCTGCTACTAAATTGTGTCAGCACCCTCCATCTGAGCTAGACAAGCTAGTAGATTGCTATAATACCACACTAACAGATTTATTGGATCACCATGCTCCTCTCAAAACCAAGACTGTTACGGTTAGACCTCAAGTGCCTTGGTATTCGGAGGAAGTTCGTGTAGCGAAGAGAGAGCGTCGACGAGCTGAAAGGAAATGGAGGTCTTCTGGGACTGCTGCTGACTTTGAGTCATTCAAGAGGAAAAAAAATCGTGTAACTCATTTGCTAAGAGTAGCTAAATCGGAATTTCTCACTGACTTCATTGATCAGAATGCGGACAATCAAGGCAAATTATTTCGAGCTGTGAAAGACCTTTTGGTTGAGAAGAACACGCTATGTTTCTCTGACTATACGGATACGACAGCACTGGTAAACGAGTTAGGGATGTATTTTGTGCAGAAAGTTATTCGGATTCGAGATGAGCTCGATTTGGGTATCGCGACTACGAACGATGTCCCGGATTATAGTGGCACTATACCTGACCCACCGGCTCCATCTGTTTTTGAATCATTTGCGTTGTTGACGGAGGACGATGTGCGCATGCTCATTGCCAACTCTAAATCCACATCCTGCTGTCTTGATCCTGTCCCCACGCCTCTACTAAAATCATGTATCGAGTCTCTTATACCAGTGATCACTAAAATAATTAACACCTCATTGGAATCAGGAGTTTTCCCTGAGGACTGGAAAGTGGCCGTAGTCAAACCATTGTTAAAGAAACTGGGCCTTGACCCGCTGTTTATGAACTTGCGTCCTGTTAGTAATTTAGCTTATATCTCTAAGCTCATTGAGCGTGCTGTATTTAATCAGATTTATGACCACTTGGTTCAGTCAGGTCTTTATCCTCTACTACAATCAGCTTATCGTCAGTACCATAGCACAGAGACAGCGCTACTCAAGGTTGCTAACGATATTCTTATGAATATGAACTCGCAACGCGTTACGTTACTTGTCCTTTTGGATTTAAGTGCTGCGTTCGATACAGTGGATCATGAGATTTTACTGTCACGCTTGTCTTCGAGTTTTGGTATTCGGGGAAAGGCTCTAGAGTGGTTTTCTTCATATTTGTCAGGGCGTAGCCAGCGCATCGTGTTTGACGGAGTTACATCAGACAGCTGTGATGTGCGCTTCGGGGTCCCACAAGGAAGTTGCCTTGGTCCGCTTCTCTTTGTTATGTACGCTTCAAAGCTTTTTGAGATTGTTCAAGCACACCTCCCTGATGCACATGGTTTTGCCGATGATACGCAATTATACCTGTCATTCAATCCTAATAATCCCGCTCATCAAACGGAGGCGGTGTCTGCCATGGAGGGATGTATTAGTGACTTGAGGAAATGGATGTATCAGGACAAGCTAAAGTTAAATGACGATAAAACTGAATTTCTTATTATCGGATCTAGACAACAGATTTTGAAAGTTAACCCTTGTACGATTCGCGTTGGCAATACCGAGATCAAGCCAGTTTCGGAAGCGCGTAATCTGGGCTCTTGGTTTGATTCAAATTTATCCATGTCCACCCATATTTCTAAGTCTTGTGGTGCTACATTTTGCTGGCTACATAAAATCAAGCGCATAAGTAAATTCCTTGCAAAGGATCAATTAGAAATGATCTTGCATGCCTTTGTTACAAGTAGAATTGACTATTGCAACGGACTTCTCTATGGATTGCCGGACTGTGACATAGTTAAATTACAGCGAGTTCAGAACGCTGCGGCCAGGCTGCTAACGTCTACTAGCAAGTACAGCCATATTACGCCTGTTTTACAGGAACTACACTGGTTGCCAGTTAGGTTTAGGATTCATTTTAAGATTTTACTTTTAACTTTCAAAGCTCTTAACGGCTTGGCGCCAGATTATATTAGGGAACTTATTACGATAAGGAAACATGAACGTTACTCGCTCCGTTCCAATTCAGGTATTATCATCTTACATCCAGTGGGGAAGATGTTAAAATCATTCGGAGACAGATCTTTTAGTGTGGCTGCGCCAACACTCTGGAATGCACTTCCTGCAAGCCTTCGGAGTATCACTTCTCTTTCAATTTTTAAATCCTCTCTGAAAACATATCTTTTTAAGCTAGCTTTTAGCCTCCATTAAATGTATATATTTAAGATTATTAATAGTTGCATGTATAATAGAGTGTATTGTAATGCGCTTTTGATCATTGTATGTAAAAAGCGCAATATAAATTATTAAATTATTATTATTATTATTAAAAAAATTAACTGTCTTGAATTATTTTGTCGGGCGGTACATTTATATTGTATAACAAAATATAAAACGTTTTCACGAGGATTTTAAAATTCAGTCGGGCAGTGATGAGAATCAAGGAATTTATTTTATGTTGGGCAGTTGGGACTTGGGAGCAGCTTGGGAGTGGCTAATTTTGAATATTTACTTAATGCATCTATAAATAGCGTTGATGCTTCAGGGGCGGCACAGGTGGCCCAGGCTCTGTGTGGGTATTTATTTATTATATTTTTGCATTAAATATGACTTTAAATTATAAAGTATAATTTACTTAGTTTCCTTTATGTGTAAAGCGTGATTTGGAGGTGGTTTTAGTTTGATATAATGACATAAAAATATTATGAGAATGCGATATTATATATACACTTTATATATTGTAAAATATTGTAAAAAAATTGTGTCTAAATGCTCTCTGATTCAAAATATTGGCGGACTTACTTGTTTACTGTGTCATTTACTTCACACTCGTCGATTTTCAGGCCATTTCGTTGAACCCGGCCGATATTATCCATCATCTAGTATTACCCACTATCAATAACGCAAAGGTAGGTAGCTGTGACGCCGGGCGAACTTGGGCGAGACAGAAATGTCAACAAAACTCGCCGTTAGAATATTGCCAAACGCTTCTAAAGCCGTGGCTACACATATTTATGTTTATTCAGTCTTCCTAACGTGTAAAATCCTTTCCCTCGCTTTTCCTTGAAGAATTAGAACAACTTAATGTAAACAAAAGGGTTAGGTTAAAACGCGGAAGCGGATGCGGAACGGAACGGATGCGGAACGGAACGGAACGGATATGGGGTTAAAAAGCGGAACGGAACGGATATGCGGAACGGAACGGATATGGGGTTAAAATGCGGAACGGAACGGATATGGGGTTAAAATGCGGAACGGAACGGATATGGGGTTAAAATGCGGAACGGAACGGATATGGGGTTAAAATGCGGAACGGAACGGATATG